CGGCTGCTGGAGGGGAACAGCCTGACATTCCTGCTGCTGTGTGTGTCACTGCCAGGTAGTGGGACAGGAACACGTTTCGGGGTACCCCCTCCCTGATGTTTCCCCCCTATCCCCTCCCCATGCTTGGCACTCAGTCCCAGGAACACCTGCAGTCGTTGGAAGCTGGACATGCTCCACTCATCCCCACCCTACCAGAACCCTCAATGCTGGTGGCCCCCCATGACCCCTACCCAGGGCTTGCTGCTCTCCCAGACACCTCCAGGGAGGAGATCCTGGGAGCCCTGGGGCTGGCTGAGAGGGTGAAGGGGCTGGCCAAGACCATCTCTGCCACGCTCTGGGACCCTGCGGAGGAGATCACAGCGCGCCGGAGGGAGATCCGAGAGCTGCGGATGGAGCTCCTGGCTGGAACTGCCCTCCCAGAGCAGAGGACAGCTGTGGCCCAGCTGCGGAGAGCCCTGAGGGAGCTGCAGGTGTGGGAATGCCCCTGGATCCACACAGGACCAGGATGGCACCGATTCCTCTGCTCGGGTGAGGTCTGGGCTCCATCCTGGTGCCAAGGCCCTTGTCGGGCACTGAGGGCTGGGGCTGGGTCTGCCCAGGGGGTGGGATGGAGGGGTGGGATGTGTCCCAGGAGCTGTGCCAGGCCTGGAGCTCTGCAGCACCTCAGTGAGGACCCCCAGCCCTCTTTTCCAGGTGCTGAAGAGGCAAAGGTGGGAGAAGAAGCAGGCGGCAGCTGAGGTGCTCCGGTCAAATGAGAAGCACCAGCCCAGTGCTAAGGTGGGCAGAGGTCAGGCCAGGCCTCCTCACCCAGGGACAGCCCAGGTGCAGGAAAAGCCCTGAATTGTGTTTGTGCCCCTGTAATGTCTTGCCCTGCTCCCACAGGACCAACTCTCCACAGGGAATACAGCACCAGGTCAGCCTGGGACCCAGACCAGTGACAACCTGGCGCCAGCAGCTCTGGAATGCGGGGCCAGGCACGCATCCCACACCTGGGTGGCGGATATGTGGGCACGGAGCATGGCTCTGCAGGGTGGGAAAGGCCTCCCTCCTCCATTTGAACGGCTTTCTTCAGCCTCCACATCGCACTCATCCTCCTCCCCTGTCCCCATGCAGGACGGGGTGACAGCGGGAGCAGCCAGGGAGAGGACAGCAGAGCTCCAGCCAGTGCAGGGCAGATGCTGGAAGAGCTGTCCCGGAGTGAAATGCCGCAGCCTGGGGGTGACATGGTGAGTGGGAGCCCACGGGGTCCCAGTGTGGGGCTCTGCACTGAATGCCGGTGCCAATCCCAGCCTGCTCCACTCTGCACCAGGCAGGGATCCGGTGCCAGCCATGCCCACCCCTGGAGGTCCAGCACGCCCTGGCCAGGGCACAGCGGCAGCGGCTGCGGGCTCGGCACTGCCGGCACCTCCAGCAGGAGCTCGGGGCCGGGGCAGCCCCGGAGCACAGCGGGGAGGTGGGCACAGCCGCACCCTGCCACCCTGCCCTCGGGGCTCCTGCCCCGGCAGTGCTCTCCCGAGGGCAGCCCCGGCGAGCAGGGACACCCCGGAGCTGCCCTGCCCTTGTCGCTGTCCCCCGCAGTGGGACACAGCGCGCTGGCAGCAGGAGGTGGCTGTGCTGAGCCTGAGCCTGGAGGCAGCGCTGCGGGAGCGGGAGGCGGCCGAGTGGGACCTGGAGGCCCTGCTGCGGAATCACCAGCGGGAGCTGCAGGGCTGCAGGCAGCACCTGCTGCAGGTGGGCACTCAGGGCGGGCTGGGCACTCAGCTCCCGGCGGTGCCAGGGCCGTGCCGGACAGGGCGGGCATCCCGCAGGTGCTGCGGGACCAGCGGCGCCTGGCGGGGGAGCAGCGGGAGGCGCTGGAGCGCCGGCACCGGGCGCTGCTGCAGGAGCTGCTCCGGGATGTCCTGGAGCTCGCCGAGCACAACCGGCACCTGCGGGAGGCCAGACAGGGGTGCCTGGTGGATGCCACCACGCAGACCCCCTGAGCCACGTCCCGGGGCGTGGGGACAGCTGGCCTGGCAGCACGAGGGTCACCAACCCCAGCCACAGCGGTTACCCCGGGCACAGCCTCCCCTCATGCCCCTCCCCTCCAGCTGCTGCTCCCTCTGGAAACCTGCCCCAGGGAGGGAAAACTGCTCTGTGCCAGGCACTCGACTGGAAACCCCCAGCTGGGACCATGTGGAATAAAGCAGGTGCCCCTCACCCCTGAGTGTCACCAGACTCGGACACACTCTTAGCTCCCAAACCTCTCCCAAGGGACACAGAGCCCTTCCCACAGGGAGGGCAGACAAAGGACAGACACAAGGAACAGACACAGGGATGCTGTTGAAGTGCAGCTTTAATACCCCAGGTGGGCTCTGCCTGCCAGGAACTCGGTACAAATACAGGAAGTGTCTCCCTTGTGGGAGCAGGTGAAACAGTTCCCACATCCCCCCTTCCCTGTCTGTTCCACACAGACACCGTGCCCAAGGAGGGAAGCGGGACCTAAGGACAGCAGGGCTCCAGCCAGGAGCTCGGCTGGAAAACCGTGGAAGTGGGAGAGGCCCCAAGAAGCAGCACCAGGAAAGAGGGGGGGAAGCAGCATCCATGGGAGCCAAAATGGCACCAGTGCCACTCTGGGCTGGCAGGGGGTACGGCAGGGCCAACCACTGCCAGACAGTTCCCAGGCCACTGTGGTGAGGAGAAGCAGCTTGAGGACATGGGACACAGAATCCCAGAATCACTGAGGTTGGAAGAGACCTCCAAGATCATCAAGTCCAACTTGTGACCCATCAGTACCTTGTCAACCAGACAGAGCACTGAGTGCCACATCCAGTCATTTCTTGGACACCCCCAGGGATGGGGACTCCACCACCTCCCTGGGCAGCCCCTTCTAATGTTTCATCACCCTTTCTGGAAAGGAATTCTTCCTGATGTCCAACCTAAACCTCCCCTGGCGCAGCTTGAGACTATAAGACACTCACACAGGGCTCAGGACCCTGAGGCTGGGCACACCTCATGGATCCCGTTACACTGAGCTTTGCCAGGCTGGAGCAGGTCCCAGCTTCCCCCTGGACGCAGGGACAGGGCACTCCTTGTCGGGGGGTCCCTGGAGCTGTGCAGGCGCCCACCAGCACCAATTCCAGCCCTGAGGAAGGGCTGGGGTTGCCTGGACACGCGGGAGGGAGGCAGTGGCTACGTGACTCCGTAGTAGAGGTGCACAGCGAGGCCGATGCATGCCACGGCCACGAAGAAGAGCAGGGTGAGCTGCAGGTCAAACAGGGCGACGGAGAGCAGGGCGTTGACCAGGATGGAGCAGGAGATGATGAAGAGCCTGGTGATGTTGCTGCTGTGCTTCATCACCACCGACATGATGAGGCCGTTGAGGGCCTGGCCGAGCACCACCAGCAGCACCCACGGGGAAAAGCCCCGCAGGAACCCGCCCTCGGTGCCGCCCCACAGGGAGCCCGCCAGGTTGAGCAGCACCCCGAAGAAGTAGAGGAAGACGTTCTGGAGGCCAAGCGGCAGCGGCTGCGCCTTCAGGATGGCTTCAGTGTAGACAGCAGACAGGCCCGATATGAGGCAGTACACGCAGAGCAGCACCAGCCCCACGGGTGTGACGTGGAGGTGCATCCCACCGGGAATGCCGCGCCCCCGGAGCCCCCCGCAGCTGTAGCACAGCCCGGCCCCCAGCAGCAGCAGCAGGGCCAGCCAGCGGCGCGGCCCCAGGCGCCGGCGCAGCAGGAGGCTGTGCAGCAGTGCCGTGCTCAGGATCTTCAGGTTGCTGAGCACCTGGAAGGTGCTGGGG